TCTCCCCATCCCCGTTCCCTCTGTGGGAGCTCAGACGGTGCTGTCTGAGTGAGCCTCAGTTCTCCCCATCCCCGTTCCCTCTGTGGGAGCTCAGGCGGTGCTGTCTGAGTGAGCCTCAGTTCTCCCCATCCCCGTTCCCTCTGTGGGAGCTCAGGCGGTGCTGTCTGGGTGAGCCTCAGTTCTCCCTGTTCCCTTTGTGGGAGCTCAGGCGGTGCTGTCTGAGTGAGCCTCAGTTCTCCCCGTTCCCTCTGTGGGAGCTCAGGTGGTGGTGGTGTGTTTGTGGAGAGCGCTCAGAGAGTGTGGCTGGCAGGCAGGCTCTGCCCTCGGAGCAGACAGCCTGTGTCCCTTCCTGGATTGCATCCAGGGGAGGGCTGCACACCAGGAATGACTGGCTCCTTGGTTGGGAGCATTCCTGTACTTTTCTCATTTGACCGTTCCCAGCACTGCAGTGATGAGGGGGGATTGATGTCCCTTTTTACACATCAGCCAGCTAGCCGTGTGGGATCCCCGGGCTCAGGCATGGGTCTTCACAGCAGACGGTGGGTCCAGCTTGGGTGCCGGGTGGGGCGGGTGGTGTCCGTGTGGTGACCCCGTGCTGTCCTTGCCCCTGCAGTTCTGTGGAACCATTGTGTTAATTTTCTTCCTGGAGCTGGCCGTGGCGGTGCTGGCCTTCCTGTTCCAGGACTGGGTGAGGGACCGCTTCCGGGAGTTCTTTCAGAACAACATCAGATCCTACCGGGACGACATCGACCTGCAGAACCTCATCGACTCCCTGCAGAAGGCTGTAAGCCATCCCCGCAGAGGGCGCATGCTTCCTGACATGTGCTGCGAGAGCTTGGGCCTGACGGTGGGGATGCTGGGCTCCTCTCCCTCAGCGGGCCACCTCCTGCAGTTCTGCCGCTTTGGCTCCTGGTGGCCGGTGATCCGGGCCTTCTCTGGCTGGTAGAACCTAAAATGTGCCCTCCCTGCTTAAGGTGGGCAGGCAGGTCTGGCTGCACCCATGGCCACCCTCCCCAGTAGCCCTGTCCTTTCCTCTGTGGGACCCAGATCTTTGGGGAGTACTGGGGACAGGAGGTGTCTCCCTCCAGCCCTGCCCAACAGCTCACCCCGGCAGCTGCCATTCTCCCTGTAACCCTGCCATTATAGGGGCCAAGGGGCAGAGCTTCCCCTCCCTGGGCGTGTGACTCGCCATCTGAGGCTATTCCTGCCCTCCCCCACTTCGCCAGATTAGTCCCTTCCTGTTTGAGAGGGCAGAGCTGACCTGGAGGAAGCATCCCCAGATGGAGAGGGATGTACCCTCCCTGGAATGTCTCCTGGGGCTTTGTCCACAGTTCCCAGCTCAGCCTTGCCTTCTCTGGCTCTGTCCCCGAGGAGGAGTGCCTGCTGGCTGTGGTGACCTCTCAGGGCTCTTGTTAGATCTCTCTCTGCCTCGCTCTGCTAGGAACCCCGCCTCATCCAGACCTTCTATGCAGAACACTGGTTCTAGGAAGAAAATAAATGAGAAGGCATGAAACATGGCTGCGATCCACTCTCACCATCACCTAAGACTTATTCAGGACCCTTGTATTAGGCATCGTGGGGCCCAGCAGAAGCTGCTGTGACCAGAACCTTCAGGTCGTCCCTGCGTGTTATTGACCTGGGCTGTCTGTGAGGCCCCAGCAGGTCGTCCCTGTGTGTTACTGACCTGGGCTGTCTGGTCGTCCCTGCGTGTTGTTGACCTGGGCTGTCTGTGAGGCCCCAGCGGGTCGTCCCTGTGTT